TAGTAACAGTGATCCTATCAGGTGCAGAGCTTAATAGTTGTAATAGGTTAGGTGATGGTCCTGCCTAGCTTTCTCTTTGTCTTGTATCCATAGTAAATCAAAGCATGACAAAGAACATCCGTTCTGTGGGCTGGCCGCATTTCCTTTGTCATGCGAGAGAAACGGCGTAAAAAGGACCAAAGACGTTCCATTACTTCACCATCTGAGAGCCCTAAACCATCACAGCGCAATGGACTGAAGATTATCTGCAATGATAAAAACCCTTGTTGCAAGAAGTGACCTACAAACTATACAAACCTGACACTGTGGTTTGTGACCATAAGCATGGAAACTTGGTAAGCAAAGCTGCACTTTCTTCAATAAAACATTACTTCCTTCATCTTTCTGTACAATGCAATTGACAATTACATAAAAGCTGCATGTTTCACGCTTGCATCATACCTGCATAATTATACTTGTTTAGAGTGCAAGCTATAATTATCATACATCACATGTAGCTTTATTTCAGCTGGATATGATTGAACCATTTCTTGCAAAGCCATTCAGCATAGCTTATCCTGTCAACAAACAAGCACATAGTGGTAATAAGCAGTCTCATTTAGTTACCTTTCTCTCCATGTTTCAAATTGATGAACATAAGTGGAAATTCATGCCTACAAGCACAACCAAACAAAGCTGTCTCATCAAGGGCTTTGTAACGATTTGATGATCGTAGCACATCACCAGCTAAGAAGTCACTGCACACCTGATTGCAGTAAAGATGCTGGCCAACATACAACAAAGCATTTTAAATAAAACCTTATCATAAGCATTTCTTCGAGAAGAACTAGCAACATTCTCATCAACTGAAGGTTGATCTTTGAAGAATATGTGGCCATGAAGTGGATCTCTATGACTCTGTCCGGCAGACTTTTTCCGTGGAAGTCCAAATAGAGCATCCATAGAAATCATGACGCTTCCTCTCTCCTGGAGATGAAGATGAAATGCAAAAAAAACACAACCATGACTAAAAAGCAAACGTGGTTATGTAAATCTTCTAGTGATAGTGTGTGCTTGGAATTTACCTTATTGGTTAAATGAGGGGACTTAAAGTGGAGGGCTTTGCAGAAATCCCCAAGAGCCACTTGGCATTCCAACAGAAGAGCTTCTGCCCATTCTAACAACTCGAATGTGAAGGCTAATTTTGGGAGACGAGGACTAGCCGGCCAGAGTCGAGCTCTAACCATGGTAAGAGCAGTTGGTTCACAATCGCAGCAAGAAAACATTATAGAATGTTGTGTGCCTGTGATATACAGCCATATTTAATTAAATGTGCAGAAAGCAATACCTTGGGAGTCAATGCAACATAGAGCAATCTCTTTCTTAGTAGGGCACTCATGGGTCAACACATTAACATTTCTGTTTTCGATGATTAAGGGTTTATACAAAGGGGGGCATGACAACACTCCCAACCACTCCCAGTGGGACTGGACTGCAGAGAAAGAGGCTCCTGACCTCACTGTCTCCTTGTCCTTGAGAGGTGCAAGGTCTTTGAGGCAGGAGTAGCCATGCACACAAACACCAGACAATAACTAATACAGTTTGGCTCAATAAAAGATCAGTAAACTGTAGATGAATAAACTACTTGTAGAAACCTCCAAATACTCACTGCGGGAACCTAAAATAGAGGCCCACAGACTCACTGGGGAACCTAGAACCCAGGTCTACTAACTCCACTGGGGAACCTAGAAAACCCAGGTCCGCTAATCCACTGGGGAACCTATAGAACTCAGGCCCACACACTCACTGGGGAACCTAGAACCTAGGCCCACTAAACCACGGGGGAACCTAGAACTCAGGCCCACACACTTACTGGGGAACCTAAACTCAGGCCCACACACTTACTGGGGAACCTAGAACCCAGGTCTACTAACTCCACTGGGGAACCTAGAACCCAGGTCCTCTAATCCACTGGGGAACCTAGAACCCAGGTCCGCTAATTAATCTGCAGGAGAACCTAGAACCCAGGCACTAATTAATCCACTGGGGACCTAGAACCCAGGTCTGCTAATCCACTGGGGAACCTAGAACCCAGGTCCGCTAATCCACTGGGGAACCTAGAACCCAGGTCCGCTAATCCACTGGGGAACCTAGAACCCAGGTCCGCTAATCCACTGGGGAACCTAGAACCCAGGTCCGCTAATCCACTGGGGAACCTAGAACCCAGGTCCGCTAATCCACTGGGGAACCTAGAACCCAGGTCCGCTAATCCACTGGGGAACCTAGAACCCAGGTCTGCTAATCCACTGGGGAACCTAGAACCCTGGCCCACACGTTAACTGAATCCATGCAAGAATAGTGATTGCATATTTCTTACATCCCACACTTCAGAATATTGGCTGTAGAGTGGCTCCCTTCAAAGCATTTGATACAATAGTAGATCGCTGCTCCACACTGCACACACCTACACGCTGCTGCTTCAGAACACATGCAGCATTTCTTCCCCAATGGCATTGCAAACGACTCAGTGATGGCACGCAGAAGTTCGGAACGTATGTTCTTCCAGCTCGTCGCATTTGCAGCTTCATTTATCTCGTGTAGAGTGGGAGATGGTTCCCGCACAACATCGTGATCATGATACACATCAGAGAAAACGACAGCATGATCTTCATCACGAACTTCATCATGACGCATTTCACTGCCGGAAGGAGCCTCACTCGCTTCTTCCTCTGCAGAAATAGCCACACCACCTCCACCTCGCCTGCCTCTAGGGACTTTAGTAGCAGGGCTACTCGTACTTCTCTGGGTGACTTTTAATCTTGGCAATCGAACTTTCATTCGCCATGCCATCGCAGAATCTTTTAGCAGGCACGCGATAGGTACAAAAGGGTTATAGCGAAAACCACGGCCCAGTGGCCACGCGCGCAAAGTTCAATGATTTACCCACTTCCGACTGGAAGAAGGTTTCAGGATCGGGTGCTGTAGTATAGGCCTGTAGCCTGCTGTTCTCTCTCTGCATGCAAGGAAATGTGTGGACCTCGACTGGCGCTGGGCGTCCGACTGGCGTATGCTAGTCTCGGCATTGTCATAGGTCTCTCCGTGTGTGCCGTGTTCCTCGTTACCTTCCACAATCCGTAAGCCGCCTCCAGCAGCTCAGCTAGCTAGTAAGAGCTGCCCGGAAGCTTGGACATGCACGCATCTCTCTCTTTCTCTCGCAGACCGGCTGCCTACTGGGGGCTGGCTTCGGCCGTCTCTGCCACCCTCGCTCTTCTCCTATTCCTCTATCTCTACGCCTTCAGACCGGACACCAAGCCTCCCTCGACGGCCGTCCTGTTCGCCTCGGGCCTTCTCTCGGCCGCTGGCGTTGCTGCAGGAATAGGCGGATTTGCAGCTTACCTGGGCCTCGGCATCATAAATACTCTTCACGGAGACGGTATATATAATTAAAAAACTAAAGATGCTGGATTTTTATATAGCTTTTTCCTTTCTGCAGATAGACCTTTGTTTCAGACGGAGTACATTGTCTGTGTATGGACGTTTATGACCTTCAAGTGGTCAATCACTTCCTATTACTATTCCATCAAGACATACAAAATCATAAAACCTTATGATTGAAAATTCATTAATTTTTTAATTACAAGTTTTATTCCCAAAAGTGAACTGGTTGCCGGGTGTCATAGTAAATAGTAACGTGGTCATGTGATAGTCATGTGATTACCTCGGGGACTGGTTCTAGTACAGTGTTGCCAATCACCAGTACGTGCACCAGTCCCTTGTGTCTGTTTCCGGAACTTTCCGCTCGGATGCAGGCTGCGTAGCCGTCCAGCGTGAAACACGTCTCCGTCCCAGTGTCTGTAAATTCCCCCTGCGCAAAAAACCCCGGCAGATAACCAAATTCGCTAAAATTCTATGATACTGTATCGGAGAAAAAATTTTTGAAGATTATTTCTCAAGACACACAAGAAGCGCACATTTGGACCATTAAAAATTTGGTTCAATAATAAAAACTGGACCCACAAATTATACTCACATGTGTGTCCATCTTTTCTCCATCTACATACACGTCCATTGTCTCAATATCTGCACCACAATAAAAAGTGTTCAACGAACAGTGTTAACATGAGCATTGTCTCCATGGTTACGTACCCAGGACGACCCTGTGGCCCCTCCCATTAATCTCGGGGTGCCAGACGCGTGTGTTCTTCAATTGCGACTCCACAAACTTCTTCAAAGATTTACCATCCACATTCAGTGTATACTCAAACATAAACCCTGTAATATAGTCATGTGATTGATCACGTGATCACAGGCTACAGATCACGTGATTGTCAGCCGACCTTTGCAGGAGATGACAATTTCGGCTGGTTTGGAGCTGATCATAAATTTTTCAGATCCGACCAACGAAAACATCCAGTTTCGACGACAGAGCTGCACGATGGAAAATGATACATCATCAGTTTCTCCCAGACCCTAGATAGCTAATGATAGCTTTAGAGAGTTGCTAAAATGTACACCTTAGCTAAAAACAAAGCTAGAGGGTTGCTAAATGTAAAATAGATGTGCTAAAAGTGCACCTCCTTGTCGTCCACAGTAATAACCCTTTTTCCCGACGTAGTGCCGTGATCCAGGCGCACTCTGTGGACTCCATCTGCCAGCCCCACCTGACGACATAAAGTAACACTAAAAACACCCACCGACTGGATGTTGCATGCACCACCTCCCAATCGGCCGCCACATCATCTGCTATTCCTGCTCCCGCCTGTCGTCCTCCGCCGCTGAGACGCTCTCCACTCATAGCGGGACTAGCTGCAGGACTAGTTGTATATACACCCTTCAGAGCGTGCTGGGCTGCACATAAGGTCCAGCATATTACATGCAGATAATATCGCCCCAGCTCCACCCCTTTTAGCTGTGCTCTATTTAGAATTTATTGGAGACGCGTCCACCAAACGATCATCGCGACTGAAGAGAGATGGTATAAGCAGGGATCTCTGCAGCCTGTATTCTGTATATTCTGTATGTTCTTAGCAAAGGTTGTAGTTCAGCATTGTAGCATACTGAAAAACTGTACATCTGCAATCAGCATTGTAACAATCTAGAGTTACGCCCTCTTCCAGCCTCCCACTTGTCCCTCTACAGGCGGAATCCCCGTTTGGGGTAAACGAGGCCCATTCCGGAGTAATTTTGGATTTCCTCCACTTTGCACGTTCCAGACGAGGACGGTGCCTCAAGTCAGTGGAGGTGGAGTTTCAGGTGCGCTCTTGCCACGGTGACTGGTAAACAGCCAACCTAGTTTTGCTCCACACATCATATTTGTGACAGTTTGTTTTTTGCGGATCACTAATATGTGACATTTTTGTTTGTGTGTGACAGAATCTTATTGAGAGTCGATTGGTGGAAGACACTTTTACCAGCGAGGAAGTGAAGGATATGGTTTCGGGACTGTGTGCAGTTGTGAACGGAGAGATGGAGACGGAATTGATCCACACAAGCCACACCCACTCACTCCTCGTGGCTCAGCTACTGCAGCAAGCCGAGACCTGGCACCTCAACATGAAGGTCGACATATCTGCCCTTGAGAACAAGTTGGTCCACCTTCCTCTATCTTTATCTCTTTCTCCTTTCTATATATATATACTCATTTTCTTAATCCCCAGAGAGCTTCTAGAGACGCTGGCACAGTATGAACAACAGCAGTTCAGTTCATCAGCTCTCCCTGCTTCAGGTTCTCAATAATATATACATTTATGTCAAATAATACATTCTACCATTTTTATTCTGTCAAACGTTAGTATACATGAACTAAATCTCCCCCACAGCTCACAAATCTACTCTGACCCCATTGGATCACTCAGGAGGCGATAAACTGCTGCAAATGGTGATTAGTGAAATGAGAGAGGTGTCCTTTATATATTCAAAGTTAATGAGAGGTTCACTTTTTCCCCCGCTTGATATAATATATTTAGGAGATATCACGATTGGAAGAGGAGAGTGATAAACTGCAGCAGAGGTTCCGCAGTGTTGAATCAAAGGCAAGTCTGATTATCACACGGTCTGTCACATGATTGTCACGTGACCTCAGTTTGCTGGGGCACTTAGCGAGAGAGACGAGTTGAAGAAACAACTCGAGGCCGTGCCTACAGTTGGCACCACGCCCACTCCACAAAGCAATGATGTCATAGCTTTACAAGAGACGGTTGCCGAGCTACAGGAGAAGCTGTTGGAAAAGGACGCGTCTTCTTCATCAGGCAATGCAGACATGGAGAGAGAGCTAGAAGAAAAATCGGTTAGTGGAGAGAGGGAGGGAGGAATATGGGAGGTGTCCTAAAGTCAAAGGTGTCCCTTATTAGGAGGCATAAGCAAGTATTAAGGTTTCCTCTATTCAGAGGGTGTCCGAAACAATTTTGATGCTTTAGAGTATGATAACGGGTGAAAATCCTTTGTGTGAATGCAGAAGGAGCTGTTGAAGACGAAGGCAGAGCTGGAGGCAGTGAAGGCTGACCTGGACAGGAAGTTCTCTGAGACTGCTCAGTACGCCAACATGAGGAAGATGCTCTTGACCAAGAACGACCAGATCAAGGAACTGAGATCACAACTAAAGAAGTAAGCCAGTGGTCATGTGACTTTGGTTTGTATGTCATGTGACCTATACACATGGTCACGTGACCTTGGTTTGTACATCATGTGACTTAATACCTTGTTAGTACATCATGTGACCTAAGACTGTGGTCATGTGACCATATTCTGTTCATTTAGGTACGAGTCGTAACCCTTGGCTCACATAGCAACCCGATCTCTTCCTTATGCCAACTGATAGCTCTAAATTACACATTTTTGTCCATGACATCTCTAAATTACACATTTTTGTCCATGACATCATGTAGCTTGTGCTAAAAATAGATTGGACCTTGTATATACTAACTGG